CAGCAGGACAGGTATAGCCCAGCTGCTTGTCGCACAGGACAACAGGGGGGTAAGAGACCAACTCACCGTCCAGAGAAATCTGATTCCATAAAAAAATATACTTAAATAAAATGTAAATCTCCACCTGGAAAAAGAAGCAAAACCTACATTTATGAAATAGAAATAGCTTCTGGTTAACATCTAGAACAAAAACTGGGACGATTGTGAAAAACACCCACAATTCTGACATCTGAAAAGCTTTTACCCACCAAATGGTAATGCTTCATTTGTCAACACTTGATGTAAGGATAAACCTATTTAAGAGTTTTCACACTACAAGTCTGTATCAACAGCCAAACTTGAAATACAGCTCAGAGTGAACATGCATCATTCATTCATATCTTTAATATACAGTAACAAGATAACAACAAGGTAAGTCATTGTTATCCAGAAGGTATCCTAATATATGTATTTGTCCCTCTTACCTTGTGGCTTTAAGCAGACAAAACCATACTGGGGGAAGAATTAATATGAAGAAAGTTACTGGAAAGGAAAGAAACCAGCACAGAAGAAATAAGTCAGGAAAAAATATTCAGATGCTACTACTCTAACAGAGGTCATGGCAAGCATTCAGGAAGAAACAAAGAACAAAAGAATGAACTGAAATGAAAAGAACAGGAATCCAAGAAGCATCTGTATAAAAGTACATACATTCTTGTGTAAGCCATAAGGTCTGGGAGCAAATGCTGGTCTGCAACATAGCTGTGCAGACAGCAGATTTATCTTCAGTGTAATTATTTAAGTTGTGCATACATGCACACATGTGCACACTAAAGTGTATTAGGGAACTCATCATAACATCATAGAATGGTTTGGGGTGGAAAGGACCTTGATCTCCTCCAGTTCCAACCCCCTGCCATGGGCAGGGACACCTCCACTAGAGCAGGTTGCTCCAAGCCCCTGTGTCCAGCCTGGCCTTGAACATTGTCAGGGATGAAGCATTTACCACGTCTTTGGGCAACCCACTCCCACTATCTAAGGCTGCTCATCACTGACAGGAGTAACTCCTGTACATGTGTTCTGGTCCCTCATGCACGTATACAAAACATTTTAGAATACTGAATCCTAAAAAGCCCTCCTAACTTCTTTCATTTGCTTATACAAGGATTTATCTTCCAGCAATCAACCCCAAGACAATAGTTTAAATGAGCAGCTGACCACAGTTTCAGGGAGAAAAGAGAACAGACAGCTGGAGCTTTAAGACGAAGCCCCATCTTGGCCTCTGCACAAACATACATGCTCTCACAAAATTTAGTGAGGGTGGTGGGTTTGTCCTGGTTCCTCCGGTGACGAAACCAGCGCTGGATCTTCCGAACATCCCAGTCCAGCTGCTTTGACAGGCCTTCTAACCTCCTTCCATCTGGAGACTGAAGGAAAATGAAACAAGTGTCATTTCTCCTACTTCTTAACCTCCTTTCAGCCCGAGATCCCCTCTGTGCTATGACAGAAATGAAACACAGCTAAAACACACACAGTAGGAAGGCACTAGTATGAACTAGAAGTAGGAACCAGTTGCAACATATGTTCATTCAAGTTTAACCTCCATACGCCACTAATTACTTAATTATTCAGAATGCTTTTCGTTTACTATTTCATCATCTGACAGCACATCACAACAAAGAATGCAATTGTTCTGCTTCTTCATTTGGAGGGAAGAGCTTTTAAAATGTCCTGTCCTACCTGTTAAAACCTGCCCATCAATTCAAACAGTTCAGAACTCAGGAATACATTTAAGGGTTGCTACTCACTGCACATTTAGGGACATGGTAAAGTAAGAGCTGGTCTAACACACTAGGGTTTTTTATATTCCAAAGGGGTATCATAGAGACAATGTTATTTTCACAAAGTTTATGAATAAAATTAAATTTGAATACTGAAATATCTGTACAATAAAAAAATATATCACTGTTCTCTGGCTGGAAACTACTGGCAGTTTAGTTGTTTGAATAATGGCATAAATGGATTTATAAGAGATAAAGTGAACAAAACCTGATAACTACCTCTAAAATGGGCCAGTGGTGAGATAAGCCATGTTAGTGTCAGACCAGTGTCCTTTTAGCAAGCTCTGCCAGGGAGCTCTTACAACTGAAAGATGACAAACACATTTTACTACTTGAATTACACACATATCCAAAAACTATGCAGAATGCTGATTCAGCAGTCACCAGACTGTTCAACTGGAAAGCAAAGTCATTTGATTTTCAGTACTGAGACCATGGCTTTCCTGTAATTCCATCACAAGCAGACCTCTCTGCACTTTACTCGGTTTTAACAGTTTGGGCTACCTGACACTTCCATACTGCAACTGCACCTGCCTCAAAGGAGAACGTACAGAGCTCCAGTTTCAGAACAGCAATGGAACCTTTCCCCTGCATCAATGCTACCCCACTTTCTGATTCTCCAAAGCACGCTGGTAGAGTTAAACACAGCTCTGTTTTCACTAAGCCAGATAAATTCTGCAGTGTGTGTCCTCGTGGATTTTCTAAACTTTAATTTCAAGGACAGAAAAAGTCCTCTCCACAAAAGGCATCAGATCATAGGGACTTTTCAGTTCACACATCAACCCAAATACCTCAAAACTTCAATGAGGTAAGTTTTAGAAAGGTCTCTATAGAATTTCCCTTCCATTCACTGAGCACTTTATCTGCTCCACTCAGAACAAAGTTCAGCATCCCCAACTCAGAACATAAACCCTTCTATTTCATTATCTTTAATGAGAATCTCTCATGCTGCCTGCATGGATTTTGCTGTCAGCATTCAATAGAGTACAGACAGTGTGGAATTGTGGAATTCTGAAGGGAAGGAACACTGTCAGCTTAAGCAAAAGGCCATGAAACAATCAAAAGAAACACCTACTGTCAACATTAAATGTCCTACCCTTTATCATGGCACACTTCCATTGACTGACACCTTCCATAACTGCCTTCCACTGTGACACCTATTATCCAATTCCACCATAGGTGGTAAAAATAAGAGGAAAGCATTCACAAAAGTGGCCAATAAAACAGCTAATGAGCAGATCTCAAGGGAGAGAGTTGCACTTTACTAACAGAAAGTGAAAGATATTGGGAAATTTTTTGTTAAACCAAGAATTACCACTTGTTACAAGAATTACCATTTGGCCAAAAGCAGGAACTAAAAGAAGGAGCCTCACAGCTTTCTAAAAAGGAGAACATTTTTGTATTCAAAACATATTCTTCTGTGCCCAAAAGCAGAGGTCACCTCTAAAGAGATTTATCTGGCTCCAAAAAGCACACGGTAAAGGCAAAGTAAAATAAGGAAGAGCATCCTCATTGTGCATGCACAGTGTGAAATGCATTTCTCTCTAATTAGAGAAGTGGAAGCAAAAAGCTTCCCCCCTCCCTCACTTACAGGGCTCCATTCCTAGTAGAATTTGAAGCATGACTCACCTTAGTGATGGATGTAAACACTTTCTCTAAAATTGCATTGGGCTGGGCTCTGTGAGGTCCACTGTCTTGAATGCCAAGGTTTATGGCACATGGCTTGGCAATAAACCTGAAAGAGTTCCAAAGGAAGAGCTAGATGAAAACCAAGCATCCATTTCCCTCCTCTGCCCCAATCACAAAGACCCTGACTTGTGACCCACTGCAAAACCCATCCTAAAAACTTTGGAAAAGCTCCACTCACTTTGCTTAAAGAAACTTTACAGGTGAGATAAGATCTTGTATTAGTTCAAATGGTGACTGCAGACAGTACACACATCTAAAAGGAAAACTAAATCTTAATGTCCTTGGTTTATAAGGACCAGAATGTGTTCCCCAGGGTGATTCTCATTACTCAGAGATATATGAGTAGATCACTGATAGGAGACCTCTGCAATATAAATGCTGGAGCCTTGTAGCACCAGAAACAAAATGCCTTATTTCTAGAAGGTGCCTTGGAATCAACACAGCTCAGAGAAAAAGGGAAGTTCCAAGCGACACAGTTCCTGAAAGACACAGGTTTTTGGTTGGTTTTGGGTTTGTTTTTTCTTTGGGAAAAATAAAGTGTCTGTTTCCTTTGGAAGAGTGAGGAAGACCTAAGAAGTCAGTCTGAAAGACTCAAGATCTCAGTATCTCTCTCAGTCCTGTGTGTACCATGTACTCCAAAAGCTGATCTAACACTGTGAATTTTCTAGCACAGACTCTGAAAACAAGCCTGGATTTTGCAACTAAAATTTATACATACATAAAAAAACTTGTAGTATTTGCTACACCCTTGTGTCAGAAGGGGCACAGGATTCTAAGGAACATGTTACCTGAACACATGGATTTTCTCTCCTGTTGATGGGCAAGGGGAGAGGGGGTGTTTTAATCAATAATTTTGAGAAAAAGAGAGCACAAAGAACCTGTTTCTCAAATCTGGTTTTGAAAAGGGCCCAACATTGGCATCATTAAATCTATTTTGCTTCGAAACAGAGATTGTTTCAGAGAACTCAAGACAACAAATTACACGTCTTCCATCTAGCAGCCTCTGAGTGCCATGAAGCAGAAAATGCTGCTTTTCCCAGTCACTACATTTGTTACCATTTCTCCTTGTGTTTAAAAAGAGAGATTAAATGATTCTACGATTCTAAGATTTAGGAGGATCATAACTATGTGTTCCAACAGCAATCACTCCTGGAAGTACATTGTTAGTACTTGGGCAACAAATAGCTAAGAACAGACACAGGTTGTGGGGTTTCCCCCTTGAGAAATTATAAGCAGCTCATGACTAATCCTAAAGGAACACTCCTTGCTCCCAGGAAACACTAAACAAGTAACAGCCACTGTGGCCCCAGTGCTAAGACACTCTCCTGCCCTGTTTCTTCCCATGTCCTGTTCATTTCAACAGTTACAGCTTTAAACAGAAAAAACCAACCCTCATATATCTATATAAAACAAAAAGGAAAGAGTAATTTCCTTTTAGCTTGGCTGAAAAGGCTCACTGCTTCCTCTATAACCTAGACCATCAGCCAGAAACCATGCTCTGATGTTATGAAACGTTTGGCTAGACCCCATAAAAGCAGACATCTTTATATTCCTCTTTCCTACAGGATATACCACAACAACAGCAAAGTACACATGTGCTATTACAGAATGCCAAGTATTTTTATTTCATGCACTGTGACACAGCTCTTTTAAAACCCCCAAAACTGGCCTGAAGATGCTCAGTTTGGGGCAGTTTCCTCACATAACAGAGAAAACCTGAAAAATCTAAAAAAATCAATTGATTTATTACTCAGGAGAGTTTTAAGAACAAGTCAAGAAGAGAAGGGATGGTTAAGAAAGCTCACAGTGATCCAGACAAAGTTTTGGCATTATTCTAGACTTCAAAACCTGAAGCATCAAGGAAAGAAGAAACAGCATCTCCTCAGGAAAAATGATGAAGAAATAATCCAGTTTGGGGCTCAAAGATTGGGAGGACCATCAAAACTTGGCATTAAACTGTTCCTGAGGAGCAGGTTCCTTCACTAGCAGGCTTATGGGAAAAATAGAGCTATTTCCACATATCAGATAAAACAAAACTCAACAGTAAGCCACAGGCTACAGATACAGGCCAGGACTCACATTACTCAGTCAAGCACGTGGGTGACCAAAGAGCAAACCAAAACCACCCCTGCAAATGTTTCTGGGTGCACAGCAGCAGCCAGACATCAGTGTAAGCAAAGGGAGAAGTCACAACAATGGAAGCAAAAGGAGGTAGCCCCAGTCCCAGAAACAGGAAGGAAAAAGGATGGCAGCACTGGATTTCACTACTTTTAAAGAAGTCTAACTCAGTGCCATAATGTAGCTTCTCTAACTCCACAAGCAATGGTTTCATGCAATGGAACTGCAAATGACAACTGTGTTCCACACAAGAAGGACACCTGAAAAGTCACACAAGGTGCTTTCACCTGGACTGGGCATGGCTCACACCCAGGAGTCCCCTGAATAGCCCCCATCCAAGTGCTTTGACCAGTTACTACCCTGCAGGTGGACTACGAAGTGAATCGTGCTGTCAGTCAGAAAAGCATCAAGATGACATGTCATTTCCTTTAGGTGTACATTAAGAAAAACTCACACTTAAAACCTCTGTGGCATCTTGTAGTTTTGGTTGTAGAATGGGGTTTCAGATGTGCAAGTTTGCACTGTATCCCACAGAGAAAAAAAATCTGTATAGCACGAGCAGTTAAAGCACCAAAAAAAGGACTTCCATTCTTGGGGATAGTCAAAACTGAAGAGCACAAGATCAGGAGCCACCTGCCTTGACTAACACTGGCCTTGCTTCAAGGACAGGATTGAACAAGGTAACCTCCAGAGGACCCTTTTAATCTAAATTATTTTATGATTCCACTGACATCATAACTGCAGGAACTATTCCCAAGGTCAACTCACTGCCACACCTTCCCTGCAAGGAATTATCATCACTTCAATACTTACATTACATTTCTCTGAACAGGTATCTGCTCACTGGCTTATATTGTTCCTACCAAGCCATCTTTTTCATGCTTTTATTAAGACAGACTGATTTTGAAGCAAAACAACAATTGTCAAGTACTCATAACAAATGTATCTCAGGCATGTTGTGCTTCACAAACCCAAGGGCAGAATCCTTCATTAGGGAACATTCAACTCCCTGTTACAGCTCTGAAAAGGAAGAACAATCTGTGAAACAGTAAGTTTTATGAAGTATGCACTTAAAGTCAGAGTTCATCTTTCCATATCCTCTCAGCTTCATTGTGTGAAGATTAAACCACCTCATTCCACAAGCGTCCCTAATTTTCCAGGCAGACCTGATGAAGTAATGTCTAAAACCACTTTTTTCTCCCCGCAGCTTGAACACAAGCTGCAGATCCTTCCTCAGACCTGTAGAGTTACAAACATATTTGTTACTGAAGGGTATTCCAGTGGAATTCTGAACACAGGCTCCAGGTTTACAGATACCTGGGAATTATTCTGGGGGTTTGTGCCTGCAGTGGGACAAGATGCATAAGGAGAAATAACAGCAAGTGTAAGCACAAAAAAGTAAACAAAAAAAGAAACTAGTGGGCAGAAGTCCTTCTTTATCTTGCCTGCACAAAAAACCATCCCCTTACCACTGAGTCAGGACTTTACCTTCCTCTACAAGTCTTTCCTCATCTCTATAGTCATATACTGCCCACAGAGAGTCAGCCTAATGAATATTTCACCAACATCATGATGTAGAAGTTAATTTATAGGAGCATTCACCAAGAGAAATACGTGTCAGCGTTACAAGTGTCTGTGTCACAAAAGCACTTACTTCCTCACACTGCAGATCTACAGCAAAAAAGGAGAGAGAAAAGAAAGAAATGAAGCTAAAACAAAAGAGCTGCACAAGTATAGAATTCAAGTTCTGAGTCATCAAGTCCAACTGCCAAAAGTGTGTCAAGGAAGACACTCGACACAATCATGCTCGAAGTCTTAATCGGAATAGATGCACAACAGGATTTTATTAAGACAAATATGAACTTTTATGACATGTTCAGAGTGGCAGGAGGAAAAAGAGAGAAGCATTTCTTAAAGAAAACTGTCTTTTCAACTAAGCATCCTAGAAACTGCCCTGGCTGCTGCTCTCAAAATCTGCTTTCACTTCAGGATACCACTGTGGAGACACACCAGAAATAAAGGAACAACCCTGGCAGGAACCAGAGCATAGTCTCAAGGTTCTGCTGGGTAGCAGAGAACTTCATTTGTCATTTGACTCAGCCCTAAATTAACACATTTCACAAAGCAGGCAGACGTTACCAGGATAAATTAACTGCTCCCAAGAGGACTGTTACTAGGTGTGGTAGGATGCGCTGTATCTCTCCTAACACCTCATACTCCCGAGAAAGAAGAATCTTCTGCACATCTTGCCCAGACTAAGACACCTGAACTAAACAGAGTTGGGAGGTGAGGAGGCCTTCCTACACTATCCCTTTCAGGGCTATCATTCTGTCTCCCAACTTCCTTTCCTTGTCTCCTGACAAGCACAAACATTTGGCCAAGACCAAGCTGAGATGAGATTTTGGCACCGCCACGTGGTCTGAACTGCCAGGAGTTTTCTGAAGTCGTTTGGGGTTTTTGGAGAACAGAAAGATAAGGTGAAGGAACAAACCGAGCCTCTCACATTTCTCTCCTGCTCTGCTGACCTGCTTTGTTTTCCTCTACAGTTCACCTGTCTTTTTACTTCACCCCAGCCCCCTCTTCTCGTTTAACTTCTGAGAGCTCAAGAAAATTCACACTTCTTAGAGAAACTCCACAAACCCAAACCTGATTCCTGCTCACTTCAGTCCTACAACCCTTTTCGTGCTTTGAGATACTTCCGTGCTTGCAATATAGAAATCTAAGATGAAATCAATCTTTAATGAGCTGCTTGAACAGAAATACAAGGTGTCTTGGTCTGCTTCACCTAACGGTTCCCCTCAATAAGCTGCTTTACTAATTAGCATCTATGTCACCCACAGAGCCCGCCCTGTGTGTGGCTGTGTGAGATACCCATCGCAGGAAGGATAAACCTCTGCCCCGGGGAACAGTTAATATCATGTTTATGGATACTCAAGTAAATGAGCGACAGG